CCCATGGCCACCCCATTTGTCTGTAAGAAGTGGGAGGAATTGAAAGAGAAGTTGTTGACGGTGAGGACAAGTTCGGCTAAGAGGATGAGGGTGTCAGTGGAGGGGGACTGGTCGGGCCTGCAGGACAGGAAGAAGCGGAGGGCCTTTAGGCCATCTGTATGGGGAATGCAGGTGTATAGGGACAGGACGTCCATGGTAAAGATGAGGTGTTGGGGACTGGGGAATTGGAAGTTCTTGAGGAGGTGGAGGACGTGGGTGGTGTCACGGACGTAGGTAGGGAGTTCCTGGACCAAGGGGGAGAAAATGGAATCCAGATAGTTGGAGATAAGTTCGGTGGGGCAGGAGCAGGCGGAGACAATGGGTCGACCAGGGCAGTCAGGTTTGTGGATTTTGGGAAGGAGAAAGAAGTGGGCGGTGCGGGGTTGGGGAACGATGAGGTTGGAGGCCGTGGGTGGGAGGTCACCTGAGGTGATGAGGTTGTGGATGGTTTGGGAGATGATGGTTTGGTGCTCGGGGGTGGGGTCATGATCCAGGGGACAGTAGGTGGTGGTGTCGGAGAGTTGGTGCCTGGCCTCGGCGATGTAGAGGTCAGTGCGCCATACTACAACTGCGCCTCCCTTGTCCGCAGGTTTTATGGTGAGGTTGGGATTGGAGCGGAGGGCTGTACATTCTGCGGGGGAGAGCTTGGAGTGGGTGAGAGGGGTGGACAGGTTGAGGCGATTGATGTCTCGACAGCAGTTGGAGATGAAGAGGTCGAGGGAGGGTAGGCGGCCTTGGGGTGGTGTCCAGGAAGAGGGGGTGTGTTGGAGGTGGGAGAAGGGGTCAGTAGAGGGAGGGTTAGGTTCACGGTTGAAGAAGTAAGCGTGGAGGCAGAGGCGGCGGAAAAACTGCTCAATGTCCAAACGTGACCAGTATTCCTTGATGTGTGGGTGGAGGGGGACAAAGGTGAGCCCTTTACTGAGGACTGACCATTCGTCCTCAGTAAGGGGGAGGTCTGGGGGTATGGTGAAGACCCGGCAGGGCTGAGTGTTGCTGTCTCCTCTGGAGCTGCTGGCTGTGGAGGCGGTGGGCGGAGTTGCGTCGGTGCAGGCTATGGGCGGAGTTGCGTCGGTGTAGGCTATGGGCAGAGTTGCGTCGGCGATGGCGGAGTTGCGTCCGCGGCGGTGCGGGATAGGCGGCAGCAGCGGTGACGGTAGGCGCGTCTTCAGTGTCTGTGGTGTTGGTCTCGGAAATGGAGGCGGTGGCATCAGCAGCGATGGCGTTCACTGTCCCAGAAGTGGGGTACCCAGCGGTGGTGGATGTGACGTCATCTGTGGGTTCTCCAACAGTGGCCTCACGGCTAGTGGCGGCGGGCACATTGTGGGGAAGGTCCTGGGTACGGCTGGGGATTTGGGAGGTGGAGGAAGCCCGTTTTGGGTGGTAGGCACCAGTAAGTTTACTGTACTTACGGTTTTTAGTGTCCGATAAAGCTGAGTAGAATTGAGAGTTCAGGTTGTGGATCCTATGTAGAATAAAAAACAGGAGCGATCCTTTGCAGGTCTGGGAGAGGGAGGCTCCAAGCTGGGGTAGGCTTGATTGTCGTGCCTGGAGATGCCGGCGCATTGCTGCGAGGGTGTGTTTCAGGAGTCGCAGGAAGAAACGCTTCTGAAGGATCTCAATGCTGTGAATATAGACATTGTCATGGTTGGGGCCAAATTGGGAAGGCCTGAATGTGGACTGTAGTCCGTTGGGGATGACCTGGTTCCGTAGGCAGGTACTAAGCTTCAAAATCTCCCCTCCCCCTACCGCATCCCAAAACCAGCCCAGCTCGTCCCAGCCTCCCTAACCTGTTCTTCCTCCCACCTATCCCCTCCTCCCACCTCAAGCCGCACCCCCATTTCCTACCTATTAACCTCATCCCGCCCCCTTGACCTGTCCGTCCTCCCTGGACTGACCTATTTCCTCCCTACCTCCCCACCTACAATCACCTTTACTGGCTCCATCCCCGCCTCTTTGACCTGTCTGTTTCCTCTCCACCTATCTTCTCCTCTATCCATCTTCTATCCGCCTCCCCCTCTTTCCCTATTTATTTCAGAACCCCCTTCCCCTCCCCCATTTCTGTTGAAGGGTCTAGGCCCAAAACGTCAGCCTTCCTGCTCCTATGATGCTGTTTGGCCTGCTGTGTTCATCCAGCTCTACACTTTGCATAAACTTAGATTGTTTTCACTGGAAAACCGATGGCTGAGGGGTGACCTGGCAGAGGCATATAAAATTGAGAGGCATTGATAAGGTGGATAGTCAGAGGCTTTTTCCCAGGATGGAAAGGTAAACTACAAGAGGACACAGGTTCAAAGTGAGAGGGGAAAAGTTTAAGGGGGAAGTGTGGGGAAAATTTTACTTCGTAAATTTGTTCTTCCATTTCCCTGTAACTGCATCTTGTTTGTTTTTTAGCACTAGCTAAATCAACTCTACCTTGCCCCTTCTCAGGCATTCTCATTTCCAGCACTTCACCATCTCTTCCCTTTTCTTCACTTCCTCTTTTTCTGTACCAAGGAATATTTAACACCCAGTCCTATCCTTATTTGAGCAAAATCTCCACTGGAGCCACCATGCAATATTTCCACATGGCAACCTGCATCTGTAACTCACCAAAACTTTTGTTTACCACATGCTGTCCATTCATACATATGCCCATTAACCCGGATTTAGATTTTATGATTTTTTCCCTTAGTCTGGCCCCACCTATCAATTTACTACTCCTATTTCAGTGCTATTGTTCTCTTCCAAAAGTCCTCCTTCCTGCATCAACTTTCCAGCCACGAATTAATCTGCTTTATCTTCCTACTTCTATGCTCACCTACGCGGCACTTGGAATAATCAATTAAATTACTATTTTTGACATCACACTTTCTAATTTCCTACCTCGGTCTCTAAATTCTGACAGCACAATAACATCCCTTTTTCTATCCATTTTGTTGGTACCATTTTCTCTTAGCATGCTTGTAGCTGTTCAGTGATATCCTTGTCCGTTACATCAGACACACAAACACACCATTCTGGATTCATGTATCTGACCACAAGAAAATCTCTGTTCTCCGAACTATCAAATCACCTTTCAGTATTGGTTTTCCAATCTTCCTTCTCGCTCCTCGGCAGCCACCTGTGTGCTGTGGAATTGGCTCTGGCTGCACTCCCTATACTCAGGGCTGGTCAGATCTGAATACCAATCAGAACTTGAACACATTTAGGGGGCTTCTGCACTTCCTGCCTGTTTATTCATGACTGTCAGGTGGTGCCCCATTTCATCACACCCTGAATACTCTTAAACTGTTCACTGACCGTGTCTAAATTCATATAGCTCTCTACCTCATGGATACACTGGAATCATGCCATCTGCTGCTCAAATTCTGAGACCAGCAGTGAAGCTGCTGTAACTGATGACACTTCCTGTATGAATGGTTATTCGTGATTATGGAATTCTAGTGCTCCCACACTGCACGGAATGCTCAATGAAATGCTTGAAGCAACACTGCCATTCCCCCAATTATTAAGTAAGATAGACATCGTTTGTATCTTAGGATATCAAAGAACATTGGCAGTGAATAAAAAATAAATAAAGTACAGGATCAAGCATGATTGTTTTATGGTGCAGTCTTGAGGAGTTATACATTCTATTCCAGCATTTGTTTCGTTCTTGTAACCTCAGTATTGACAACTGTAGTCAGTAATCAAAGTCCTCCCATTTTTTAAAAATCTGTCTTTGAGACATAAATATACTGGTGAGGCCAGCATTTGATACTCATACTTTTCTGTCCTTGACAAAGTGTTGCTGAGCTGCTTCTTGAACTTCTGTAGTCCATACTGTATGGTGCATTTTTCCTTTGCAGTCTGATATAACCAAGTGGCTTGATGGGCTATTTCAGAGGGCAGTTAGTCAACCACATTGCTATGGGTCTGGAGTTTCACATAGGCCACACCAGGTTGAGAAGATGTCGGTTTTCCTGCCCTGAGGACTTTGGTGTATCAGATAGGCTTTTACAGCAATTTATTAGTTGCAGGGTCACCAATAATGGGAAACTGATATTTTACTCCAAATAGTTAATTCATTAAATTTAAACTCCCCACCTGCCATACTACAGATTTTAATACAAGTCTCTGAGCATTCATCCATTTCTTTGGGTAACTGGTCCAGTAACATTACCACAATGCTATCATGCCCAAGTAATCAATATTCCACTTACTGTAATCAATTACTCCAATCGGTGGGGCACTGTAATCAATAATCCTAGCTGTGAAATAACTCCCAAAATTTACACTCCAAAATTCAGCTTCTTTACCCCAGCAGTAAACCATAGACAAATTAAATAGTGTAACTTCACGACCTGGTACACAGATAGATTTGAATAGTCTAAGTTATTTTACTTCAGTCCATCAAATGGTCACATTCACGTAGCAGGCTCTTGCAATTCTTATCAATGTCACTTGAGTTATTTGGTTTGCTTTACACGAGCAAGAAAACAAAATTACTCCTTTTGCAGTTAAATAATTTGATATGTAAATTTCTTATTGAGTTACCTAATTTGCAATGGGGTCAGCTACCAGTTGGCTGGATGGCTGGTTTGCAATGCAGAGCAACAACAGCCTGGGTTCAATTCCAAACCAGCTGGGGTTACCATGAAGGACCGTCCTTCTGAACCTCTCCTGTCACCTGATGCGTGCTGACACTCAGGTTAAACCACCACCAGTCATCTCTCTCCAGTGAGAGAGCAGCCCTACAGTTCCAGTAGAATTATGACCTTTGTCTTTACTTAATTTCCAATACCTTCTGTGTCTCGGGTGGTCCAATCTCCACATTTGTTCGTTCCTTCTCCCACTGGCGGCTGGTCTCTAGACCTGGTTCTTCATGTGCATATTCTGACATCAGGCCTTTCACATTTAATTCTTGTTCTTCCCAGGAACCACATCCTACAAATACAGACGTCAATTCCTTCATTCTCTGGCTGCAGTCAGGTTGGGCCTTCTCAGTACAGCAATTTTTCTGAGAGTCTGCTACAGTACTGTCTGAAACTTCCACTTTTGCTGAATTCATTGCATAAACGACAGCCTGCAAGCTGCCTGGGCCTCCTGCTGCATACGATATGTTGGATGAGATGTTTTCTGCTGAATCAAGTATTAATTCCCCAGAAACTCCTTTCATGTACTCAACTGGAAATGAATCCGAGTCTGCCTCCATATTTCAGGGAATTACGGATACTCTGTTGCCTCTGATTTACTAGAAAATCCCTGTGAGTTTAAAAAAAGGTAAACAATTATTGCAGACATGGAGGACAATTTATTGCCACAAACATTCTTGTAACTTTTCAATAAATTGGTTTGTATTAGCCATGTCTTCAATCTCTCCTTTAGAGGTTATGTCTTACAAGCAGCAGTCACAACATTCAATTGATCAATTTGTCAGTAGGTACCATTATAACGGTTGAAGACTGCCATAATTCAGAGACTGAGCTGCTTGAGCAGATGAATCAAACACAGTGAACACTAGAAAAACTCAGCAGATCTGACAGCATCTGTGCAGAGAGAAACAGAGTTAACGTTTCAAATCCAATATGGCTGTTCTTCAGAACTTCTTTCTGTTCTGCAGTCATACCGGATGCAAAACGTTAACTCTGAGTGATATGCTAAGTTTTTCTCACATTCTCTGTGATTGTGTCAGATTTCCAGTAGTATTTTGCTTCTTTTCAAAAGGATAATTTTCCAAAAAGACTTATAGAAAAAGAAAACTCACAACATTGACATACTGCTTAAAAAATGACAGAAAATATGAAGCAATTGCAGCTTGACGACAACTTTTGTAAGCATTAAGTAAAGTCACCAGTCTGCAGAAAGCAAGCTAGCTGCGAGGGCAGTGCAGTCCATTGCATTCATGGTGAAGCTGCTTAAGGTTCCAAGATCTTTCTAAGTCATGTGCAAAGGGATACCGGGCTCGCAGATGCAGTAAATCTGATTCCAAAGATACAATGCGAAGGTACAACATGATGTGCCCAACAGAAAGCATATGCAGCATGCTAGCAGCAACAAGGAGTGTGCCAGGGACTTTCATGCAAGCAATACGTAAAGGTACTGGCAACACAGACCAAGGTGAAAAATCAAAGCCAAAAGAAACTTCAACAGAAAACAAGCAGGCTTTCCACTTTGTGAATGTGATACATTGTGTAGACAACATCCAACATTTTTACCACTATGAACATCATTCAACACATAACTCAACATGCGAGCTAGCGCAAACATCCTCTAAGACATTATCCAGAAGGATGATACAGCAGTGGATTTATACAAAAGGTGACGCTTATGGACGACACTGAGTTCAACAGCTGCAGCAGTCCTCGAGTATGGAATGTGTACTTAAAAGAGAGGTTAGGACAGTTACATGGGAATATGAAAGGATACTGGCAGGAAAGATAAAAGAAAATCCTAAATTGTTTTGCAGGTATATTAAGTGTAGAAGGATAATAACGGAAAGAGTAAGGCCCATTAAGGACCAAAGCTGTAATTTGTGCATGGAGTCAGAAGATGTAGTTAGGGTTCTAAATGAATACTTTGTGTTGGTGTTCACTAGTGAGAGAGACGATAAGTACAGAAATCGGGGAGTAGGTCTGTGATAACATTTCAAAAAATTAGCACAAACAACAGGATTTGTGTGACCTAGCAGGCTTAAAAAGTAGACAAATCTTCAGTGCTGGATTTAAGGTATTCAAGGTAGTTGGCGCAGTTAAAGGAGGAAATAGCAGGGGCGCTTTCAAAAACAATTAAGTTTCTCTCTGGGCATCAGAGGATTGGAGGGGAGCCAATGTGTACCATTACTCAAGAAGGATGCAGGCAATAAGCCAGGAAACTACAGGCCAATCAGTCTAATCCCAGTGTTGGGGAACCTATTGGAAGCAAATTTGAGGGACAGAATTAATCTGTATTTGAAAAGGTAGGGATTAATCTGGGACAGACACATGATTTTGTTAAAGGGAGGTCATTTCTGACCAATTTGATGGAATTCTTTGAAGGAGTGACCAGATGTAGAGATGAGGATAATGCCTTTTTTAAAAAATTCACTTGTGGAACATGGGGATCACTGACTGGCCAGCATTCATTGCTCATCTCTAGTTGCCCTTCAGAAGGTGGGGGTGAGCTGCCCTCGTGAACCATTGCAGTCCATATGCTGTAGGTGGACCCACAATGCCCTCAAGGAGGAAATTCCAGGCTTTTTACCCAGCAATGAAGGAATGGCGCTATTTCCAAGTCAGGATGGTGAGTGGTCTGGAGGGAAACTTGCAGGTTGTGGTGTTCCCATATGTCTGCTTCTAGGTGGAAGTGGTCATGGGTTTGGAAGGTGCTGTCTAAGGATCCAAGGTGAATTTCTGCAGTGTGTCTTGTAGATGGTACACAAGAGAGAACAGGTGTTGATTTAAAACCAGCGATATTTGGTATACGAATAGATTCAAGCATACAAATTTGGAGCAGCAATAGACCATTCAGCCACTTAAGTCTTTTCCACCATTTGATAAGATCATGGTTGATATGACTGTAGGCTTAGATTAGAAGAGAAATCTATGGGTCAGACCCAGAGGGATAGGAATATGGAAAATTTCATAATTCAGTGCCCAAGGGACATAGACAGAGAAACCACAAGGTTTTAATTTGTTTGAACAGGTAATTGTTGAATGAAATACTTATGGAAAGACTATCCGAACTAATTTCAAATTTTATAAACATGTTCATTGCAAATCTTTTACTGACTGGTCAGACGCCTTGGATGACAGCGACATATATCTGCCAAGGAGGAGATCACAACTGACTCTGCAGCAGCAATCACCACACAGCATTTAGGATTACACCCAGGATCTCCCACTCCAGACCAGTAGCACACTGACCCTCCGCCTCACCCGAACACATTCCGCCCCTTCTGCACAAACACCCAGCCCTTCCACCCCACACAAAATAAATCACATTCCCCATACAATAACCCTGCAGCGCACCACCATCCCCCCCCCCCCCCCCCCCGACCACTCTGCCCATCCTTACCCACCCACTCCCACCTCCTTACCCTAACGGTCGCTCCTCCACGTGCCAACTCCTTCCCGCCTCGGGGCACGTGACCAGTAGGACTGCGTCATTGGCGCGCGGGGCCGCGGCCACTAAACCCATCGAGATCGGCGGCGATCCGTCCCGTGGATGAAGGGATCCCGTCGGGCGGGGAAATCCAAACCCTGGAATTCACCGAACCCAGTTCCCCGGCGAGGGAATCCACCCCCGGAGAATAGGAATCCAGTCTTCAAGAGAATCTAGTACCGGGGCAAGGAAATCTAATCAGGCAGGAGAATCCAGCAAGAGCGGAGCCACTGGGGAAAGGGATGGGGGAGCGGGGGAGCGGGGGGGGGGGGTTTGGGGGAAGGGGGATTGGGGGGGGGTGGTGTTTGGGGGAAGAGGGATGGGCTGAGGAAGTGTATCTCAAGTTATACCTAGGCAAAGGAGGATGATTGATGTTTGGAGGAGGCCAGTTGTCTCAGTTCCAGGACATCTCTACAGGAGTTCCTCGCGTAGTGTCCTAGGCCCAACCATCTTTTCAGCTGCTTCATCAGTTACTTTCCCTCCATCATTTCGTTCACTGATGATTTGACAATGTTCAGCAACATTCAAGCCGGCTCAGGTGCTGAAGCAGTCCATATCGAAGCCTGGACAATAACCCAACACAAATGGTCTGGTGATTGTGGCTACAAACGCATGTCAGAGGCACGAAATTCTGTAGACAATAACTCACTCCAAACCCTGGTGACCATCTACGAGGAACAAGTTAGGAGTGTGATGGTACACTCCCTGCTTGCCGAGATAAGTCCAGCTCCAACAACGTCCATGTAGCTCAACAGCACCCAGGGCAAAGAAAGCCATTTGCACCACCTTAAGTTTTACTGCTCCACCACCAATACACAGAAGCAGTAGTACGTACTATCAAGAATATGCACTGCAGTTGCATACCAAGGGTCATTCAATAAAGTGCAAGGGCTGTAGATACGTGGGTATACTACCATGAGAGTTCCAATCTAAGCCACTTACCATCCTAATTTGGAAATATATCACTGTTCCTTCATAGTTGCTGGATAAAAATCCTGAACTCCCTTACAGTCATAGAGATAAACGACACAAAACTAACTCATCCATGCTGACTAAATATTCTATATAAATCTAGACCCAATTGGCCCATATCCCTTTAAACCCTTCCTAGTCATATACCCATCCAGGTGCCTTTTAAATGTTGTAATCATACCAGCCTCCACCACTTCGTGTGGCAGCTCATTCCATAAACACATCCTGCTCTATGTGAAAAAGTTGCCCCTTAGGTCCTTTATATCTTTTCCCTCTCACCTAGTTTTGGACTCCCCTGCCCTGGGCAAAAGACCCTGTCTATTTACCCTATCCATGCTCCTCATGATTTTATAAACCTCTATAAAGGTCACCTCTCTGACTCCGCTCCAGAGAAAATAGCCCCAGCCTATTCAGCCTCTTCCTGTAGCTCAAACCTGCCAACTCTGGCAATATCCTCGTGAATCTTTTCTGAACCCTTTCTAGTTTCACAACATCCTTCTTATAGCAGGGAGGCCAGAATTGCATGCAGTACTCCAGAAGTGGCTGAATCAATGTCCTGTACAGCTGCAATATGATCTCCCAACTGCTATACTCAGTGTACTGACCAATGAAGGCAAGTATACCAAACGCCTTCTTCACTATCCTATCTTCCTGCAACTGCACTTTCAAGGAAGTCTGAAGCTGTACTCCAAGGTATCTTTGGTCAGCAACACTCCCCAGGACCTTACCATTAAGTGTGTAAGTCCTGCCCTGATTTGCCTTTCCAAAATGCAGCACTTCACATTTATCGAAACTAAACTTCATCTGCCACCCATTGGCCCATCTCATCAAGATCCCGTTGTACTCTGAGGTATCCTTCTTTGCTGTCCACTCCACCTCCAATTTTAGTGTCATCTGCAAGCATACTAACCACACCTCCTAGGTTTACATCCAAATCACTTACATAAATGACAAAAAGCAGTGGACCCAGCACTGATCCTCATGGCACACCACTGGTCACAAGCCTCCAGTTTGGAAAGCAACCCTCCACCACCAACTGCTGTCTTCTACCTTTGAGCAAGTTCTGTATCTACATAACTAGTTCTCCATGTATTCGTGTGATCTAACCTTGCTAACCAAT